TGCGTGCGTCTGTACTTTAAATCATGCGCATGCAACATGCGGTGGCACCGCTCAGGCACCTGCGCCGGCCAATGAATGCTCAGCGCGACCACTACGTCAATCCCTTGCCGTCCAATGGGCTGGCGTGAGAGGCGGGGCCACGGGGAGACGTCTAGTTTGACATTGTAAATAAGAGCGCAGCCACATACGGAGTAGCGTGCGGAAGCCAAAGGGACTAAGGGGGGTGGGGGGTGCTGGGAGGGGGTCACAGTGTAGAGGACAATCCAAAAGAGGCAAGCCGGCACGAGCTCGCACCCCCTGCGCCGCGCCAGAGCTTCCTTCCCACTTGACTTTTCTCTTTTCAACGCTTTTCTCTTCCTCTTTTTCTTCCCCCTGACCCCTAACGCTGCCGCTCAAGGTAACTTAGAGCAGGAAGTTGGCCGTCAGCGCAGAGGGGGCCGGGGACTGGAGTAGAGGGGAGGGAGTTTGACAGACAGGCTCGGTAAGCCAATGAGGCCGCAGTATCGCGCGCTCTCCTTGGTAGAGAGGCGGGGCCAGGGTGTCACGTAGCAGGCTAGATTGATTGCTGGGCCAGTGTTAAAGGCAAAGCGGTTTGAGTCGGGAGTCGGACTGTGACTGCTCTCTCGAACCCTCCTCCCTGGTTAGTTTTTTTTTCCTCCTCCTTTCTTAAACTGGGAGTCTTCAAAGGAAATTCGGAAGGGGGGCTCAGTGAAAGATTAAAAGGAGAGAGTTTCTTTTTTCACCCCGTGGCGGAGCGACACTGCCTTTTTGGAAAGAAGTTCTTGCTGCAAGGAGACTCCAAACAGCTTCCTGCCCCCCTTCCCCCGTCCCCCCCTCCATCAACACGGAACGGACCATCCACCATGAAGGGCACGGGGTGAGTGCGACCACTGGAAACGACACAGTTAAGACTGAAAGGGTGACAAGCGGCATTTTTATTCATTTGAGCTGTTCTTTTTGACAGTCACCTTTTGTAGTCAAGAGGCTGCCCTGTCCTATCCTGAGTTGTGTCCTTGAGTTGTAGCAGCAGCCTGCTCGTCTTCAGGCTCTCACTTGTTGTGTTGTGATGCCCCCCCCCCTTTGGTTTTTAGGAGTATTATTTGAAAAAAAAAATCTATATATATATAATGTTCGACCAATAGTTCATGGCCTTTCACCCAAAGTCAGCTGGGATAGGCTGTACCACCCAGTGACCCTCAACAGCAGAACACGGATGGAAATACAAAAACAATTCATTAATTTGTTGATTAATTAAGTAATTAAAAAAAATGCACAAATAGCAGGGAAGTTGTCTAAAATGCACATGCATTACAAAAATATTGTAGGATGTGTAAAAAAAAAGTACTAGAAAACAGGAATGTTACAAATGTGTAAGTAGTATAAAAGTATTGGGGGGAAAAATATCAAATGAGGCAAAAATATAAAACCATTGAGAAATATTTGGAAAATGTCAGGAACATTGGATGAAAATAAATGGAAAAAAAATGGAAAAACAAATGTAGCATGGTGTTGGAGCAGAGAAACACAAATATAAAAATAACGAATACAGAAATATAAGGAAAAAAAAGGTGCACTAACATGGGAACATTGACAATAAAATGGTAGATGAAAATGCACACACTGTAAGACTAAAATGAAAGAAGTTGACAAAAGCTGCAAGTCGCCTGTGCTGTCTTGCTGCCTACCTTCATTGTCGTTCCATCAAGTGGTGTGGATCATTGCAATTTTTGACAGTGGGATATTTCCCCATGTCATGCTAATTTCTCAGGACCCTCCTGTCGCCTGACGTCCTTGTTTACATATTAGCTCGAGCCGCTGACGCTGCGGCGCCGGCATCCATCTTGAAGGGGACACGCAAAGGTTGGGGGTCCTGTAGGGTTGGAGGTGCAGCTGGTCTCTGTGACCTCTACCCCCCCCCCCCCCCAATGCTGCCAGCCTTCCAGATGGGCCGAGGGAGGGTGAGGAACAAAGTGGAAAGTGTGTGTGTGTGTGTGTGTCGGGGGGGGGGCAGAGGAGGCTAATGGTCTGATCTGATCTCTTGTGATGGAATCTTTTTGGAGGGCGCCGCTTTTCCTTACTTGCTCTCTGTCACTCTCGCTCGCTTTCTGTTCTCCCGCCCTTGTTGAAAGTTTCCACTGTTTTTTTTTTTTTTTTTTTCTGACAACACTGAGGAAGACTAAAAATAACCCCTCCTAAGTTGAATCCTCAAATCTCAGGGTTTTGGATGTGGAGATTTGCGGCAACCGCGGTGGACCGCAACGCTAAGGTCAGTGCTGGTGCCGCGTCCCTTTGCCCTTGGCAGGTAGCGTCAGCCCTCCTCCTTCCTCCTGCCTCCTCCCTCCTCCTCCTTGGAGGTCTCACATTAGATGAAGGTCACAAGAATGTGAGGAAGTATGTGGAGGAAGTGAAAGCCCCAAATGAGCGAGGCTCGATTGTGCTAGCTGCGTGCTAACAAATACCAATCTGGGTTCACTCCAGTGCTGCAGTGCAAAACCTGCACCACCTCACCCATACCACCCCCGTCCCGTTGCTCTCCCTCCCTCCACCCTCCCTCGTCACGTTCTCCTCTGCCAAATGACCTTGACAGAGCAGTGACAAGCACTTCCTGGAGTTTTCTCCAATGCAGGAGCAAGAGCAAAGTTTGAAAATAGATCATTTTGTGTCCTAAAATAACCCAGATCCCATGCAGGATGTCGTAGTTAATCTGTAAAGGCCTCATGGGAACTTGTTTTTCTTTCGTAGTAGATGATTGACCCCCGCATGTTGGATCGACTCCTCTATTTGTAAATGACTCTTTCAAGGTCAACATCATTTGCCAAAGATGGTAGCTTTAGCCCAAAGCTAGGACGCCGACAGAGGCCTCCCGATCGTCACTCATTTCACGAGTCGCCATCAGGAAGGTTGACTCGAGGTCGCGGCGCGGGAGGAAGGAAGCCGTCCGTCTTTCGTCAGACGTTGTCGTCACTGTAAAATGCGGCTATTTTCATCGCGGATCACACATTTGGCTCGCACGTCGGCGGTTTTCACACGAGTTATTCAGATCGGAAAATTAAACACTAGACGACATCGTCACGCCCCGATTGTTGTGCTGCAGGTCGGGCTGACAGTTATTACTTAGCTTCTGACAACTTTACTTGTCCTGACCTAAAAAAAAATGGACCTTTTGGACAGAAAGTCAGTTAGGTGCAGCGTCTTGTACTTAAAAAAAACCCGTAACGTGTTCTATTCCATATAACTCTAAACTATTGATTTGCCAACGTGCAAAAGGCTGAAAAATTCTTCAAAAACTTTATATTTAACACGGTCACGAGACGGTTTTAGTTGTCAAGATATACCACATTTTTAAAGTCGTAGTTTCAATGTTTCCATCAGTAGTATGAGCTGTGTTTGTTTAATAAAAAAAAAAAGGGGGGGTGGGGGGGTCCTCCCTGTCACTTTTTAAATCGTTTTTATACCACAGAATTAAACATGTAAAATGTTTCATTCTTTTTTTCTTGCCTGTGCCATTTATGCAGAACAGCGTGGCAAGAAAATATGTGCCAAAATCTTGGAAAAAGTTACTCAAGCTAAAAAAATTAAAAAAAAGGCTCACTTGTCCATAATCAATCATACCGTAGCTGTTAAAACGTAAACTTTTACGGCTTTTTGTTGTGTCTGCCATTGAAATTAGAAATGGGCGATGATTTATACCGTTCCTTGTGCTTGAATCATTTCACCGTTTGGAATTTTATGCCGTGCATGCAAAATTGGCAATGACATTTTTTTTCTCCACGTATCACTGTTCTGTCCCAGAATTTTAGAAACAGAGTTCTGAAGTAAACGCGGCCGTTTTCCACCTTGAGTGGTTTGTTTGTTTGTTTGTTTGTTTGTTTGTTTGTTTGTTTGTTTGTTTGTTTGTTTGTTTGTTTGTTTGTTTGTTTGTTTGTTTGTTTGTTTGTTTGTTTGTTTGTTTGTTTGTTTGTTTGTTTGTTTGTTTGTTTGTTTGTTTGTTTGTTTGTTTGTTTGTTTGTTTGTTTGTTTGTTTGTTTGTTTGTTTGTTTGTTTGTTTGTTTGTTTGTTTGTTTGTTTATTGAACATATATAAAACATACAATAACATGACAAAATGCAAACAAAAATTATGAAAGGAAAATAAAAGTGAAAGTAAGTAATACAAACATCATCACAGTTATATGTTCAA